TAATTTATAGAATAAAACTGTTGTATTAGGTTTTTTTCTTTGTAAAGACAAGAAAAATGTCCCTGTAAATACATATTTGTCATCAGCAGTAAGGCTGTCAGCCACAGGAGTTGGGACAAAGGCTGACTGAGGAGATGCAGTTTCGATTTGCCTAAATGGGGACTCATGTTTCTATTCCTTTGCTGCTTTTTTTTATTTCTTTGATTATTCTCTCCTGTTCCAGAAGAGAAGATGTTCGTCCTCTAGACTGCTTGACTGAAGGCAACACCCAGCATAAGCTGCTTCCTAGCAGCAGGCCTTGGGCGAAGCTGACAGGCAGTAACAGCACGGCTGTAACGCAAGGTGGTTCAGAGGGGCAGAGCAGCACCGGCGTGCTGCCAAGCAGCACGGCTGTATGCGCTTACCTCTGCAGGGATGCAAAAGGTGTCCCCAGCCAGGAAAAGCCAAGGAATGCAGCGGCACAGAGATTTTCAGAAGAACTTTGCATTCTGGAAAACATGACTGGGAGGGGAGGGGAGAAGAAGCCCCAAAGCCCAGCTGTTGAGAACAGAAGGCAATAGATGGAAGTTAAAGTAACAATTCTGGCTGTGTACGGCCTAAGACGTTGGCATATTGAGCATGGCAGACTGAGGGCGGCGTGCTCTAGAATAGGTCCCCAGGCAGTTGTAGAATACGGCTGTTCTATTGTACACGTGGGATCCTGTCTTTGCATCCATAACATTTTTATTTTATTTTATCTTATTTTATTGTATTTTATATCTCTAGGAGATGTTTCTGTGCCTGACAAGAAAGCTTAGATCATTTCTACTGTGATTTATGCTGCTCAGAGTGGCTGACTTGGCCCCTTCCTATTGAGTCGATGCTGCTGTCCTCTCTCCTGCCTGTCCATGTTGCTGGGATGACACTCCTGATAGGTCCTGGCATTCAAGCAAGAACTCTGTTTGTTTCCAGCTCTGCTCTTCTGTCCCCTCTGGGCAGCCTGGGCAGCTTTTGGTCACTGTTCTCACTGCTGCGTTTCAGGGAAACTAAATACTGTTGAGTAACATGGTTTGTACAGCAGGCTGACTTCTGTGGCCAGGCGCATAACACCGTGGCATCTCTCTCCAGCGCGCTCTCTCTGTCCTGCGCTCTCTTGCGCCAAACCCTAAGGCTGCTGCTTTCTCTTCCTAGTGTCAATTGTTAATTCAAACTTGAAAAAGTGCAGAGGGAACTTAAGATACAGAGATCAGGCAATAAAACACTGAACAAAATTCAGTGTATATGGATGTAAAGTGATGTGCCGGAGGGAGGGAGAGAATGACAACGTGAACTTCACATATGAAATAGCGTGTTCTGACCGATCATTACCATGGAAATAGGATCCGAGGCTTGTTGAAATTGTCAGTTCAGTAGTGGTCAGAAAAGCAAATGTGTATCATCATTATGATCCATTATGCCACAGCAAAAAGCTGTGATGCACCTGCATGCTGGCTGGTGCATGCACTTTGCATGCCTGATCCTTTCATTGCAAAAAAGATAGAGTAGAAGTGGAAAGTTTCAGAAAAGGGCATGAAAGAGTACCTAGAACAGCTTGCCAAAGGAGACAAACTAAGCAAGCTGTGTTCACTTTCATATTGAAGAAGAGCATTCACTGTATGTTTGGCTCTGCAGTTGGATATAGTAAGGTATATCCAAGGTGCATTTGTAGGCATGATGTTTTTGGTAGCTCTATGTCCTGTACGAATCTCTATGTGAATAGGTGACAGATGTCAGCAGGACTCGGACTAGGGCCTTCCTCATGGATGGGGAAAATCTTTAACTAGGCTTGGCCTGCTTTAAAAGTACATGTGGTCATCTTATAGCTCTATTAATGATAATAGGCCCTAAACACATACGCATTTTTCCTTCATGCATAATGCTGCTTCATATTTAGGATTATTTAGCTTGTCCATTACCTCAGTTGTCTGAGGACACACTATAAAAAACTATAGCCAGCTTAAAATGCTTTTCTATGTGAATGACTTCAACGTAAGGAAAGCATGACTAAGGGCTGAGAGAATGTGCAGAAAATTACCCTCTTCAGGCTGAAGAAAATTCCCAGAAAAACTAAGCATGCGGGAAATGCCTGGCTGTTAACATAGCTGGTCATACAATGTTTGTGGGCAGAAAGCCAACCCTGCACAAACTCATTGTGAGTGCTATCGTCTTGGTAAACTTGTCGCTTCCAAAAAATGTTTTGTTTTTTTTTGGGGGGGGGGGGGGGGACACTGTGTAAGCAAAAAAAAAAAAAAAAGGTGTTGTTGTGGGTGGTGGGGGTGTGGGGGGGGGGGAACACATCTGATAGAAAATACAATCAAAAACCTTGCTTTTATCTCTTTCTCTGCCCTAGTCCTATCTGACCAGGCACATGTGCTCAATGAGTTTACATAATGGGAATATGGAAAACACCATGGATCTTTAAAACAACCAGATTAAGTGGTATCGATGTATTTTTGCTGCATTTACAGTCTCTTTATGGGGTGGGTTTAGGGTGTCATTGCCTATACTTTTTCTCAGAAGAGTGTTTTTGGAAATTTTCCTTCAACATGCAGGCATAGTTATAAGAGGGACCGACGCTTGCAGATGTGATTTGCCTCTTACCTTAAAAGCCGTGGAAGAGAGTACTGGTATCGTCAAACCTCCAGTTACCAACAAGTGATTTCTTGCAGCGTTCGAGCTAACTGAAATCCCATTCCCACTGGCACAGCTGTGCGCTCAAACTCTTGCTTGCTTATCTCGTTTTCCACTCATTTTTTTCTCTTCATTTGTTTCTGAATTATTTCAGTCACAACTTCTGTGCTTTTTAATCTGAAAACAATCATTCTAACATGCCCTTGAAAACAATCCTTATAATATGCCCTTGATAACAATCCCTCTGACATGCCCTCTGCATCATCTCTCGGGCTTCCTGAGGCTGGTGTGTTCCCCGGCTGGCACAGACAGGGCCTTGCCGCTCGTTCTTTGTTTTTGCTCACTATTGATATGCCTGTGCGGATCATTTCGCAGAATGAAAGAATAGGGGAAGAGCCTATACCCTTCTGTTTAAGAATTCATTTGTAATTTCGTGAGGAAATGTTTCCTGGTGAATCATGATGCATTCCTGGTAAATGAACTGTTTCTACAGAAAACCTACAATAATAGCAGGATTCTGTTACCAAAAAGGACTGAAGAAAGCACAACTGTTTGGGACCTGAGTGAAATACAGGCAGTGGCCTTTCCTCTACTGATACCTGTATTTCTGTGCAGTTTTAACCAAACATATGTTTCCTTAATCATGACTTAAAAGCTTACCTAGGGAAGACAAGAGAAGCTGCTGGTGAGGATGACTCTGCTGACGCTCGTTCTGCTGGGTGCGACACCCGGTACTAAATGTTTGCAGCATCAAAGAGAGCTTAAAAAAAATAGATCGTGACTACACAATAGAAACAAGCCAAGTTTGTAAATAGAGAAGTTCGACATCATGAGTGCTATAATAAAAGTACATCTGGTGAAGTAAAGGTGCTGGGATTTTTCCCTCGCAAAACCCATTAACCTTTTATAGAGGTAGATGTGACCTTGAAAATTCAAAAGAGTTTCATAACTTGTGAAGAAAGAAGAAATGACAATCTGATAAATGCCTGGCATTCTTCATTGCGAGTTTCTTGTTCTCTGAGGGATGTGGGTGACTCAGGCTGCAATCTGCAAAATATACCCAGACCTATAAAGGAGCTATCGCAGGGGTGTGCAAGTGTGAGTTGCTTTATTACTTTGCAATATGTTGTAGCTCCTCTCTATAATTCAGTTCCGTACAGTATTGCTCATAAATGAGTAGTGGTACAAATGACCTTACAAATAATTTAAAGATAAACTTAACTGTGCCTAAGATCAAATTCTGCTCTCTGCTATGTGATGTAAATCTGTGGGGTTTATACCAGTTCATCTGCAAAGGGAATTTAGTCTAAGCATTTTGTTAAAAGAATATTAGTGTATTTTTAACACAATACTACTGTGTTTTCAGCGGAGAAAAACTTTTTTCCTTCTATTTGCATCTTTGCAATATATGTGAAAACATAAGAGGGTTAGGAGTAAAAACGAAGCACTTAAATTTGCCTAGGTTTTTAGGTAAGGCCAAAGTTTTGGATTTTGAGCTTTGTTCACTTCTACGTTATTCTAGCTATCTGTCAGAGGGAAGCTGATGTAAAGCTGGAATGATACAGTGGGGAGTCAGGCTTCTTGTCTCCAGGCTTTTTCCATCCTTAGTAAAAAGTTGGGCCTAATCCAACACTTGGGATCTCAGGGGTCTCATATGGTGAGAGTCTCTGTCTCTGGAATTCCAGCCAGGATCCGAATTTGTGTACGAGTCCTGTATTTATAAACTAAACTTCTGAAAACCGCCAGCTCTGCTGTTCAGACAAGGTTATTGTGCCGTCCCCTTGGGAAGGGGGATTAGCTGCGCCAGGCCTCCTCCCTGCCCAGCACAGGTGCTCGGTGAAAGAGCAACTGCTCGGGAAAGAGAAAGGGGTCCTCGGAAAGAATGAAGAATGGGCTGATATCCAGGCTGGGAACTGTTCCTGTCCTGTTTATGCTAATTCACACTCATTTTATAAACAGTGAGCGACGGCTGCTTTTTCCAAAGGTGCTGAGCACCTCTAATTCCCTTCGGTGTGAGCAGGAGTTTTGCATATTCAATATGCGTTCCTTAAGGAAAAGACCCCTGCTAGCTGTGTTTCTTGGGACAGAAATGCAGAAAGACCCTGCTTAATCCTGCCACTTACAGGAACCGTCTTGCAAAAGTTTTCTACTGCTCACTTCAGTTAGGGCTAGTAGACTCTTCCTTGAAGGACAGACATAAAAAGAGATCTCCTTACTTGCTGCATAGCACAATGGCTCCTGGCTGACTCGGAAATCATAATTAGCTGGTTTTCCAAGGTTTCTGTTCTCACATTTGTTTGGGACTGCTAATGCATTTGGTCTGAACGGCTGCACATTGTGCATCTCTACAGACCATGCAACAGATGAGCGACCACCGCTACGACAAGCTGACAGTGCCTGATGACGCCGCAGCAAACTGCATCTACTTAAACATACCAAGCAAAGGGCACGTCCTGCTGCACCGAGCCCCCGAGGAGTATCCCGAAAGTGCAAAGGTAGGGGATGGTTTCTGAACTGCGCTGCTTGCTGGGAAATTGAAATTCAGTGCTTTCCCGAATGGGGCTGTTGTATGCTGTAATGGAAATACCAGCTGGCAAAAGCACCAGCTTTGGAAAAGTGGGAGGCCTGGGCTCTATTTTCATCTCCGCTACTGACTTAATTAATTTGTCTCTTGTGCCTCTGGTGCTTCTTCTACATAACTGGAAGTAATAACAGTTCCCCTCACTGCAGCAGTGATGTCTGTGAATCCTTTGAGAGCCATAGCCAGGAGGCCACATGTACTGGAAAATGTTAGTGTTGGTGATAAATAATGAGGCACCTTAGCACCCGCTGATAAATCCATGCTTATTCATTCCATAAATACTTAGAGTAAAGGGAAAATAGAAGCATAAATGTAATGATTTCTCTTTCATTTTATTTCTTACACAGGTTTTTGAAAAACTGAAGGACCACATGCTGATCCCAATAGCCAACACAGAACTGGAGAAAGTAGACGGGGCACTCACCTGTTGCTCTGTGCTTATTAACAAATCTTCAGAATTATGAGTTTACAGAGTCCCTCCCTTGTAACTGGCAATAATGTTACATACAAGGTAGACGAATCTGTATCCACACTTTTATTGTTTTTATTGACAATCTACTGTACCACTGTGCTACTAACCCTTGTTTACAAATTTTTTTGTTTTGTGTGTTTTTATGATGTCCTTGCAGATGGTATTTAAGGTGGGTGTACGCTTTTGCTGGGGGCACATTCACTCTGAAGTATGTTAGTCCCATGGGCTAGCAGAAGACAGTTACAGTGGCTAACCCCTAGCTTTAGTGATTTAACATATTCTGTGTGAAAATTGTATGAAAACCAACTAATGCAAAGAAGTTCAAGCAGCTCTGTTGTCTTTACACTGTTTTTTCTTCTCCTTCTGTCTTTTCTCTCTTGCTTCTTTCTCTGCATCTTTTTTCCATTCCTCAGTCTTTCTTCTCTGTTTCTCTCTTTCAGTGATGCAAGGTATCAGTAGGGACTGAAGAAAATTCAGTGAGATTGTGAACTTGGTATCTCATGTGGCAGGGAAGCTTTCCTTACGCTGGCTGGAGCAGTGCGTGGCAGGCTGTGCTCAGCATCTTGGCCATATCACATTGCCACTGCTGGGCAGATTGTGGCTCGGATCGGGTTCAGACATGAGACAGCAACTTAGGAGAAAGCTTTCTCCTTCAGGCACGTTCAAGGGCAATATTTGCCTGGGAAACCTGAATGACAGGAAAAGAGGTAGTAGGGCAGCCACACCAGATAAGTCCTACAAGTTCAGGGCCCTGTTTGCTGCTGATGCTGTGTCTTGCAATTGAGTGAGAACAGAAGAGGAGCGTTTTAAAAGGCCAGATCGTAGGGAGCATGTAGACCACCAAAATGAAAGACCAAAGTGCTTTTGGAAAAGTTAAAGTCCACAAGTTATCTAAGAATGTGCGTTTTTTTTAATCTCTCTGTGTGAACTTTCATTTCAGTCTCTCTGTTGTTGTTTTCTCCTCTTTTGGGGGCCACGTACTAGCAAAATTCAAAGGAAAAGGGTGATAGAACCAGTTGAAGGACAGTTATTCCTGGATTATGCTCATGAATGAGGGAAGCCATTGTTGTCTGAAAGATTGGCGTGTGTATTTTATCTGCCCTTGGGCCAGTTTTCCTTGGAACAATGACCATCTTATTTTTTTTGATTGCATGAATATTTACTGTGGTATTCAGTTAAAACAAATATATTTGTTTTGTAGCAAATTCCACAACATCCTTATCCACTGACTCACACATTTTTTTTCACCGCAGTAACATGAAGTATACCCCATTGTATTCATATGATTCTTGTTAAATCATTTGTAAACTAAGGATGGAGAAATTCCCAAACAGAAGCAGTAGTGGGAACTCTCCAGAGGCTGACGAATAGTCTGAACATTTTATCAACTTCCTAGGCATCTCCCCCACCTTTCCTGAACCACTTTTGGCGTGCTGCTAAGGTACAGTAGGAAGTGAGCAGGGGAGCTCTGTCAATATGGCCTGTAGGAGAGCAAGCAGCGTGAACTGAGGGCACGCTACAACATCCTTTGGAAATCTGCATGCTTTTTTACGCAGTCATAGGGGAGGAAACGCAAGCACTTATATTCACAAACTTCCTCTGCACTCTCGGTGTAGCAGCGTAAACACATCTCACCTCAGCAGCTAATGTGGAGCAAAGGAAGTTCATACGTCCTGGCAGCTACCGGGATACATCAAATGCCCTCTGAATGCATTGTGTCCTGTGACGACAGGAGGTATCAATGACGAGAATAAAAAGTATGTGAAAAGAGAGCATGTCCCAAAGGAAGTCTCTAGCCAGCCAGACAGCAAGGTGCTGGTTTTAGGGCTGCGTGCCATTCCCAAGGATTCGCCTCACGTTTCCCTTTGGCTCCTCCGTTGCCACGTGCCATCGTTTCAGCATGATTTGCATGGTCAAGCTCTAAGGTTGGAAACGTTGTAGTGGGGAATCTCCTTTCCCTCCTTCCCTTGGCTTTTTTTAAACATCTGATAAAGCTTCTTGCATTTTAGAATCCCTTGATATTAAACAAAGAAGATTCTGTGCCAAAAAGTAACCCTGTAGTATTTAACCATGACCATCTAGAGGCAAGCTACATCCTTTTAAAAACATATGTAGCTGTGGGAGCTGTTGTGTAAAGCGGAGCAGAATCTGTTGTCGCCTGTCTGTGGGCCTGGCCACGCCTCGCCCTGTCCGCGGGCTGCAGTCCCTCTCCCTCGTCTCGCCAGGAGCCAGAGCATCCCACTGTAGCACTGTGCCATCGTTAGGCTCTAGGATTTCTGTTCGGTTTGTCTCCAACTTTCTGTTGTGGGTTTTTTTTTTTTATCTGCTCTCACCTTTCACTGTTTCTCTCTTCCTCAGGCTGTGGTTTCTAGTTCATTGCATGATAAGCACTTCCCTCTTTTAAAAAATCCCCCAAATTTTCCTTCCGTTGTCTCAGTTCTTCTGTTCCTTCAGTTTCCTTTTTCTGCACTCCTGTCTCTTCCCCTCACAGCTCACTCCAAAGTATCCCAACCCTTAACAGGCTGTCCTACATTTCCTCCCTCCTTGAGCAGATGCCAGGAGGGAGGAGAAACCGCGGGGACCACTTTTACTCTGAGAAACTTTTTGAGCAAGAGGAATAACTATCAACAGGAACTGTGTACCTAGAGGGTGACTCCTCTTTGTTAGGCTTGCACCATTCATTCGTGGTGGACACTGTTGTTATCTTGTGTCCCTGAAAGAATGGGTGATGAGGGATTCCCCCCAGGTCCCTCAAGGGAGGGAGAGTTAGTGCAAGAGGATGTCCTCGCTGAGGAGGGGAAGATTGGATCTCAGAGCTGCAAAGCATCTCACTTTCCAGAGAGGTTGCTCTTTCACCAATTGCCGTTTAGATTTCCTTGCTTTCAAGGCTGCATTTTAGTCTACAGAAAGAGCAGGAGAGTGGCTGAGGCACCTGAATTCCTTCAAGTAATGATTTTAAGACGTATTCAAACTGTCTAACTTCAGGCATATAATCATGCTTGCTTTGTCTCCATTGGTTTGATAGGTGTCATAGGCTCCTGACAGAGATGCTCTGAATTACATCTTAGTCCAAGGCCAAAAGTCATCTAAGCTGTTTAGTGGGATTGCTTTCCTCTCTCTGCTTTTCACTTTATTATGGCATTATAAAGCAACAAAATTAAGAGCACTTCAGTTTGTGCATTTGCAGTATGGTACTAAGAACCAAAATCATGCCAAATGCTTGCTGTTCTTGCTACTTGGTCGTTTTTCTGTTGCCCGTCTGAAGAATTCAATTGTGAGAACGTTTCTGCTGTAACACAGAATGCATTTAATGGGCATCCTGTACATCTTGTCACTAGAACATTTTTCAGATGCCTAGTGTAAATCATCATCCTTGACTAATATGGTAAAATCCCAAACCAAAAAAGGAGATGAGACACTGCACACTAATAGGCAGCCCACATGAAATATTTGATAACAACTGTCAGACTGTATGACATAGCAGGGCACTATACAAGATCTTGTGGTTAATAGCTCAGCAATGGGATTCGAATTACTCGTCACTGGTTTGTTTGGTCTAGTTTTTTTTTCAAGCAAGCAGTTTAACTCAGATCAAATGAAAGAGCTACTATGCTTATTATAGATCTTTCACGGATGTTGTTATCTGTTACTATGAGTCCAGGAAAAGGTTGTGATATGTGGGTTTCCCTCTTCAACAGAATGTGAATACAGTGTGTGTGTGTCTCTCTCTCTCTGCAATGAAAATGTGAATGCATAGTTGTACCTTACAGATAAACTTGAATTCTTCCATTTCTGCATTATTGTCTTTCCTTGCAAATATACTTTTTTCCAGTCTTAAATAGATGCCACTGTATGGAGCTATTCTCTGAATTTTTGAGTGATTTCCATGAGATAGGTACAGAGCTCCTATGCACACCGTGTCCAATTTTAAAAATAAAAATTCAGTGAAATGCAGAACAATGAATCTGCTTTTTCTGTTTGTTCACAGCAAGTTGGGAATGAAATATGAAAAAAATGGCTTTTGATTTCATTCAGCTTATTAAACACTAGATCAATGAAGTCAGAGCTAAATTACTTTGATAGAAAAACTCAAAATTCAATTTGTTTGGGGAAAATAATTTGCTATTTAAGATTCTCTGTTTTTATTAATAAGGAAGCTGAAAAGATAAGACTTAGAAGGGTAGTGTTTATTAAGTGATTGTGAACGCAGTATCGTTGGATCTCACTTGCATTTTCAGAAAAGTTTTAACTGGACGTATGATGTAACTTGTATAGAGTTGCATGTGAATTGTGTTAGTCACTGTTTTACGTTGTATTGTTCTGCAGTGCACAAATATGACTACTGAAAACAAAAGTGTTAGATTTCATTAAACTTAAAATCTTGTTACAGTATATAGTTGCCCACTTTTTGTGCCAAAAACATCAATACATTCCATAATCTATTCTAATAGAGGTTTGCACTTTGATTTTTTGTGACTCTTGCAGTTTCAATACTATATATCCCCATCACAAAGGAATAAAGTGTCAGTTGTACTGTGGACTGTGTAGTTTTGCCTCTTATTTTGAAACCAAAAGCACGTGTATTTGATTTTGTATTGTTTCATGCTGTTTTTTTTTTTTTATTGTGAAGCTTATAACATGCCTAGAAATAAAGCCGACAATAGACACTTGTGCTAAAACCTTTAAACCTTTTAAAAGAAATCTTGGCTCTTCAAAAACAAATCATGATTTTGGGCTTACATTTAAGATAATGTCTATAGAAGAGGCATTGCCATAGTGTTCTAGATACGATGGCTGTGATTTTATTTTGTTACTGTCCAAGGTAACTACATGTTATTGTAGTATAATATTTTCTCCGTAGTCCACTGTATTTAGTGCAGGTTACACAAGGTGAAACTGCAAAGGTTTAGTGGCACGACCACTGGGCTGAATTTCTTCACAAAGCTCCTGTGTCATCTCCTCTTCATCTGAGATGTCTAGAGAGTTGACTACATTATGGACATCACACAGTGGATAACAGGGCAGATGGCTGCATGTTTTATATTTAAATCGTCCTTGTGTGCTATAAGTAGCGTATATGGCTGGTCTCTGCCTGTACCACTGTGCTCTAACATGGGTAGACTATGATTTGAGAATTAATCACAGCGGGAGACAATGCAGTTACTCTGGGCTGCGTGGAACATGTAAGTGCTCATAGGTGTTCAGTGCCACCTTGTGGCAATCGAAGTTTTAATTAGTCAAGGCCTCAGTATTGTCACTTCAACTTTGTATTTAAGAAAATCCAACTACTGTACTGTAGCAAAAGAATTGTATCACGTCCAGACTGTACAACCTCTAATGTGGATACATTTAGCTTGGTGCAATTACTTAATATTATAACCAGCACCATATATAAGCATCGTTGTATAACCACATCTACAGGGGAGAGTTGATAGCAATTTACTTAAATTTGTTTCTAAGTGACAGGAATTAAAAATAACACAAAAGCTACAGAAAAATATTCCCATTTGCCACATTAAGAAGCTCCGCTCAAAGAATATAGAAACATGCAAAAGCATGAAAATCATTTAAAAAGAAGTGCCCGTTGAGAAATTCAGCTGTAGACTATTACTGTAGCCAGCACAAACTTTCTGTGCTGGGTATACAAGTTCACGCTCCACTGTAAATGCAGTCTGCCAAAAAGCATCAGTCATAACCTCCCGCAGGTGCCAGGCAGGGGCTGTGGCTTGAGCAAGGGCTTGTCCCAGGGCCACCCTGACCTGCGCATGAGAAGGGGGCGAAGGGCCAGAGCTGGCACCACACCCCTGCAGGACAGGATTGGGGGGGGGGGGGGGGGGAACAGGGAAAAAAAACCAAGGTGGGGAGAAAGCCTGGAGCTGGTCACAATACAGAAAGGTCCACTGACCGCTTCTCACCAGCTGCGACAGCGTTATGACGTTTTCTGGGATCGATAGGGTGGAAGACGTGTCCTTGAGCAGCGCTCGTTTGTAAGCAGTATCTGAAATTTCACAAGCATAGTCGGGGTGGTGATTACATGTATACGTGCTCATATAACCAAGGCAGTGTCCAAAATCTTCCCAGCTCCCTTGAAAGAAATTCTCTGTAATGCACTCCTAAGACTCCCTTCTTGAAACTGAACTGATCCTGACCTCCTGAAATGAATTTCACACTGACAGTAGTCGTCTTCCAGCTGCCTGGACCATTAATTCCTGTCAGGAGTTACTGGCAGTAAACCTGCTAAAATGCAGTCTATTCTTGTATTCGCTACCAGATGCCCTTTTCTCTGATTCCTGAAGTTCATTCCTTGCAGTTTGTCTCATACACGGCTCAGGAATCCAGGAGTCTAGCTCTCCAGACATCACATGGCTTTGAACTGCACCTCGGTCACTGGGCAAGGTTATTTTTAAATATTCTAAATCCAGAATGTGCGGTAGCTATTTTTATCAAAAGTATTATACGGAGCCAGCAAAATCTGCACCAGCATTCACCTTGACGAGGAGGAGCTGGAAGTCACTGGGGTTAATGAACATGAATGGGAGTCAGGAGCTGGGGACATGCCTGGCTCTGTCCCAAAGGCGTCAGCTGGCCACGATGAGCTCGCTGGACACTTCAGAGGCGCTGAAACCCGGCCACATAGTTGGGTGCCTAACACAGATTAAGGAGTATCAATTTAGGCACTGGGACTTGAAAAGTACCGCCATGCCCTTCAGCTCACTGGAAAGGAAATACAAAGTAAATATTTGTTTACATCATATTTGAGATGTTTAATCCTCAAATACACAAGACAGCTTTGGGATCCTCAAATGTGCTAGAGCAAAAAAAGGGTTCCTGGGTGCACGTAACAACGCTGCAAGACTGGGGCTGTAGCAGGGGTTGGTGCCAGGCTGCGACCAGGCAGGGCTGCCAGCGGGCAGCGAGGGGGCGGCCGGCGGCGAGGCCCTTCCACGGGTAGACATGTCCTTTGCAGCAGCAGCAGGGAGCGGAGCTTGGTGATGGTTTCTGATAGCCACTTTGCAGCCTGGCTGTGGTTTTAACAGCCAAGTCAACGGAAATCAGCATTGTCTCCAGGTTAACAATGGTGACTGAAGTGTCCTGGGCAGGGCACTTTAGTGTCTGCTGAAAAGTTGGAAAAGCAAGCACTGTGAAATAGGTACCGTGACAGTTAATATCTGAAGTATGATCCCACTAAAAAGGCATACCCTGGAAAAGGACTTTTGCAAGACGTTTGCAAAACCAGTTTTCCCTTAATAACAGCAAGAGCTACTACTGATTGTTTCTCCTCCTTATACGTGTTAATGTTTAACTACCAGTTTTAAGACCTCAGCGATAGCCTTTGTTTTGCTTTCGACAAGCTGAGAGATCGTTTACTCCTCAGGCTTCGCCCTGGGCGGGCTTTAAGCGCTCGGCTGCGGCGCCGCCGCCGGGCTAAACGAGCAGCAGCCGCTCCCAATCTTTGCATTTAAAGCTCTACTGTACCTGCTGGTATGTACGTAACGTCTAGCACCCAAAGCAGAAGCGTCCTTCAGTTATTTTGTTAGAAGCTAATTAATCATTAGAGATTTTTTTTCCCCAACAAATGAAAATTATTTCTTATGTCTCTCTCAACATTTCTTGCTTTGCTTTCCCATTTCTTCCTACTTCTACACTCTTGTCAGTACCCGTGCTTCCTTTTATGCTTCTTCTACGAATTATTTTCTTTTCAGAAAATATTTTCTTCCCTCTTCAAAGGTATTTTCTAATCGAATCGCCTCTCATTTAATTTTCCATGCTCTCTCTCACTGTCTCTTGCCATTGTTGCCCAGTTTTATTCCGTAACTATGACCACTCTTCCACCTCGACCTCTCTTATTTTCTCATGTAATCCAAGACTTGGATGACATGCAGCCTCCCAAGCAACTTGCTGTCTCCCCCAGCCCTCCTTTCCAGACGCACGCTCTGATTTTCCTGGGAGCTCACTACGTAATGACTGAAAAATCGTTCCCTCTTGTCACGAGTGTAGCGCACTGGAAATACCTAAATGCTAAAATAAGAGCATGAGGATACCAAGCCTTCGGAGGGGTATGGTGGGTGCTATCAATTAATTGTTGCCCTGTCAAGAACGAGATGCCTATTTCTCAGATACTGCCCAGCTTCTGAGTCGCCTCACACGCCGACGGACAACTAGTCAAATCACAGCATCAGCGTGCCTGCGGCCGGCGACCCGACTCGAGCCCTC